GATAGTTTTCGTTGGCAGAGCTGTCATGATGATGAGACTCTGCCCGGCCGCTCCCAAGTCCACTCCACTTTCCAATTCATTTCGCCAGAGTCGCAGGATATCATAGGTCAGCGTATCCGTGGGCTCGATGTGGATGATGGCAATTTTACCTTGTTTGATGGCAGTAACATTGCGCGTTTCTAGCAAGAACTCCTTCGCCAACGCCGGCCGTGTAAGCAGTATAATAGCTGAAAAACATTAAGAAGAGCAAGGTTATGTTTGGCAGAGATTGGAAACGCTGTCCAGCTTTTGACGTTAGTTTATTGCATTGCTACTGAATGCGTATTCGGAAGATCTGTTAGTACATGCGGAATTTTCAGTTTGCTATTAGAAAGCATTGGTGTCGTCATGTACGAGCAATGTATTTTCTCTACGAAGGAGTGCTTTAATGCACGCCATTGTCCGACTGACTATACTTATTAAGAAGGACTAGTATTTTGCATGATCAGGTAGTTTATTGTTTCGGGATTCAGTTGCTATTTATAAGTTATTCAATAATTCAATATTTTAATAACCAAGCTGTTGGATATGGTAATAAGTTGGCTCACTCGTTAACAATAATAGCCATTGTTACTTGATTGCAGTTTCAATAAATTGACACGGAGCATTTGCTCCTATAAGAGATTGGGTTTGACGTAGGTTAAGGGTAAGGGTAAAGTATTTCAAGGGCAGGCAATGCTCCACATGTCTAACGTTCTTTCCACGTAGTTCCAGCTGTTTGTAAAGTCAACGATTTACTGTCGTGATTCAGAAGATCGCTGTGCGTTTTTAAATGGAGGAAAAATGCAGGAAACGTTGATTATGACGACGTAATTGAATTATATTTTAGATTAAAATGCGTAACGAAATCATAATTCACCCTCTTTTGGTTGGAAATTATGTCTTTTGCACATTTTATAGTGCAAGAAAAGGTACCTTTTGTTTTTAGAAAAGCTCACGTCGATGAAATCTATTCAGGCCACGAAATCTTTGTTCATATAAAACCTTATCTGTTAATTTATTCATGGAAGCCACGAAGTTTACAACAGGATCCACATATATAACAATTTTTTCTGAGAATAACTCCACTTCCTCTTCATAGCGTAGAGGAATTGAAAATGTTCTTATGAGGAACGTTTACAAAAAGGAATTTGGATATACTGAATTCAAAAGCAACGGACAGTAAAGTTCAAAGTCATTCGGGAAATAAAAAAGCTTTCTTAAAGCCAAAAGATACATTTCTTTCGACGATAAAGTGTAAAGAATACGTAATTTTATACTATCGTTGTATAAGAGTACGTTAGTGTATATTCCACACAAAAGATCTTTTAGTTTATTTAAGAATTGACCATCAATAAAAAAATGCATACGTCTTACGTAGCCTTATTTTACGAAGTACATATTTGATGGCCGTCATAAGCCAGCAACTTGTCATGAGTGAAATATCCCGAGGTTTGACTACATAATTATCAATAATACAGCCCTAATCAAGTTATTTGCTCCAAGCAATAAACAAATTTCAAAATTTCGGTTGGCATTTCATGAGATAGGGAATCTACTGCGGATGGGCATACTACTCCATCTCCGTTGATATATGACGATAGACTGGCTTTTTACTGGAAAGCGTTGCGACAACTTGTGCCAGTCACAACGGGGCGAACAGTATACTTAAACCTATGTGATTTCCTTTGACTTTCCTCAGTTTCCTAGACTCAAGTAAATCATATTTTAATACAAGGTGCCCCAAAAAACGTATAAACATTTAATATAATCGTAAAATTAGTGTTTATCAGACATTTATTATTAAAAAATGTAAAAATATTTAAAAGTATCGTTTTATTGTTTTTCAGCGAATATTCTCAAACTTAAGTTCATTTCGATCATGACATTGCGGACAACGCGAAACAATGGAATAGCACACATTATGGAAAGATCCCTTGGTATTCGGGTGCAATCGTTTCCGAAGGCTTCTCTCCATTTCGCTTGTGTTGCAATAGTGAAAATGCAGTGAGAAAACAATAAAATGATACTTGTAAATATTTTTAAATTTTTGAACTAAGAAAATTACGATAAGGAAGAAGTTTACAATGATTTAAAATTTATTTACATTTTTGTGACACCTTGCATAGTAAACAGCTGTGGTATTATGTTTTATGAAAGCTTGACGTAGAAAGGGAAATTTTTATTGTATTGCAAAGTTACATTTGTTTGCATACCTTGTAGCTCTGTTTGCTTTTTTCAAATTGAAGGAGTGTAATTTTTACTCTGGGCCGTATGAAAAGACATCGCGATATTCATAAAACGATGGAAAAAATAGAAATTTGAATGGTAGTGCACTTACAAAGGTTGCTAAATTACTTATAACTTCGTTATATTAAGACGACTGTACCTCTTAATCCCAAGTATATGTGAACGGTAAACTTTTTAAAAAAGTGCTTTAAATCTTTCCTGGGGCATATAACTTAATTCTACAGTTATCTAAAATCAGATTACAGCAAAATGCACATATGGGGTCCTTCTCACGCGGTGGACGATCGATTATTAACTACTTAGAGATTTTGTGCGATGCTCCTATTGTGTACATCTTGACTTCAGCTAGTGTGTTTGCTTGAAAATATGCATCAAAATATTCCATCAATGTTTTTGGATTAACGTTGTCTGTAGGAGGTAAATATAAATGCAACCAAGGCAAAACTTATTTTCAACTTTTTATGTAAGGCCATGATATATGTACTGCATTCAGAATTGAGACTGATAGTCAAAAAATGCTTGAAGTACATTATATAAGCACGCACCTACTTTCTATTGCCTAATTTATTGTTGATTGCAGTGGATTTCCCATCTCATTAAATTTAAACCGAAATTATGTCATGTGCTTTCGATCGAGATGGAATTAAATAAGTTAGATAGTAATATAAATTAGCATGTGACGTTATCCAGAAATGTTTCAGTCACATCAGGATGCCAGTTTCCGAACGAACTTCGTCCTCATCGCCCGTTAAGTGTATACTAGGTAAAAAATGGTTATTTAATTAGTAAGTATTCCAATGCGCTTATAAGTTGAACTTTAATTCATAGAAAACATATGCCAACGTATTCTGTCGTGTACTACCTTTGTAGAAGGCCATGCGATCTTCAAATTTTATACCTGGAGAAGGGATATCTTTCCAGTATTTACGCTTGTGTGCAAATTTCCGAGCAAATATATCATTTAAAGAAGGTGTACCCTGTAACCAAAAGAGTACATGAACGAATATTTTTGTGCATGTTTTCTATAAAATATGTTTGAATTCATAAGGGCTTCAAAAACTAATGGAAAAATGCATACTGCATAAGTAACCCTTCTGTTACTAAATATGTTCTCTGGAGGAGATAGGAGATGAAGTGTATTGCTCAAAAAGCAACTAAATCAGAAAGGTGCGTACGAACCATCATAAGTTTTATTTTCCAGTCTGAGGACTGAGAATTTTGTTCTCCCCGGCCGCCAGCGCTGCACATCGATGATTTCAAAATTGTCGTATTCACTATCGACCAATAAGACTGACAACTCATTGGCGAACAACTCACAGTCCGTTATATCACAAATGAGCTCATAAAACATAACAATGTACTTGCAGCGATATCTGTATAGCAGGGCATTCAAAGCCTTTAGATACTTTTTCATATTCACCACCATGCTGTACGAGTTCACAAAATCTCCGACGGGTATTACGTCATCACCGCTGTCTTCGAGGTAAAGGGTCTCACCCTTAATGGTATTGCGGCATACATAGCCGATATGATAGAAGCTAAGATTGTGCGAATCCTGCTCACCCAGGGATATCCAATCAGACACAAGGCCACAGTCGCCTCTCATGGATGGACCAATGAAGAGAGAAAACTCGTTTTGCAGGGCTGCTGTGCTATTCATCGTTCTCAGGGCGGCTAATACGGCGCTAGTTCGTCCGTTTTGTCTCAGAGTGCAACCTGTAACGCTGAAGAAGCTGGCAGATATTTGCAAATTTGGTGGGAAACCAGGCTGGTGCCAGCCCTCCAAACTTACAATGGCTTCGGCAGGGAAGAAGAGACTGAAGGTATAGTCAAAGAGTTCAAAAGTTGGTCCACAGATTCTGTCAGTAAGGAAAAAGTTCAGTTTGAGCTGCCCATAGAGAGGACTTTGGATAAAGAGGCCATATAAAACTAGGAAATTGAATAGGCTTGGTCCTAACATGACGGTAGCAGATTGAAACGCCGAGTATGAACAAGGAGTTAGGAGTTCCATTGATTTGGAGAGCTCCTGTTAAAAGGCCACTTTCTCAGCGATTATCGGTTGACGAAATCTTATTTGGTGTAAGAGCCCCTGCAGCATGAAGTGGACATCGAAAACACAGCCTACCGCATAATTAGGCCGGGCAAACCACAGCCATGAAGTGGTTATATCTTGGCCATGGCTGACGTCAAACACGCAAGGCTTCCGTGATGGAGGTGTCCCTGGATATTACTTTTTGATCGTAATGCACGAAAACTGAATGTGGTTGAGTCTTACGCCAGCGCGAAAGTTCCATTTGTCTGCAGTTGAAGCGAGAATGTGCGCTCGTATAAATTTTATTAGAAGCAGAGAAAATGGCAAAGAAACGAAACTTCAGTATGGAATTCAAACGACCTTTTAATAAAACGCTTTCTACGCACCAGATAATTCAGCAGAAGCTCTCTTTTTCTGCATGACCAAACACGGTACGCTGACCAGAGTTAATGAGCGACGAAAGGCCACAGAATCTTCCCCATTTGTTTAAATGCACGCAAAGGGGATTGTTAGAGCAAATGGATAATCAGTTGCTTCACTAGGTTAGTATGGCGAAGAAAATTAGCAATTCAAGCGGTACATAAGAAAACAATAAGGAAGCGATGTTTAAATAAATGTGGGCCAAAACAGAGAGTAGATTTGCACCCACTATATTTGCTAGCCAAAATACTGAAATGTGTTTTCGATTC